TATCTAGAGTGTGTGGTCCTGGGATCAAGGGCATGTGATTAGTAGATGAGTCCACTGATTGGTCCAGCATAGTTCTGGCTAACACTAAAGGTGTGAGTGCTACATCCCCCTTAGGGAAGGCAACAAAGACAAGGCAGGAGGCATTACAATTCCTGACTTCAAATTATATTACAAAGCTACTGTGATAAAATCAGGATGGTTTTGGCAACAAAATAGACCTGAGGATCAACGGAATAGATTAGAAGATGCTGATTCAACCACAAACACACTCAGCCATCTTATCTTTGGCAAAGGGGCCAAACATGCTCACTGGTAGAAACACCCTTTAACAAAGGGTGCTTTAAAAACTAGCTCTCTACATGCCCAAAACTAAAACTTGACCCAGGTCTAGCACTATGCACTAAACTAAAGTCAAAATGGATTAAAAATGTAAACATTAAAACAGAAACATTAAATCTCTTGGAAGAGAAAGTAGGTGGAAATCTTGAAGACATAGGGGTAGGCAAAGACTTCATGAACAAAAATCAAATTGCGTGGATAATACTTGAAAGAATTAACAACTGGAACTTCCTCTTATTGAAAAGTTTTTGCACATCAAAAGAAATTATCAACAGAGTGAAAAGACAACCCACAAATTTGGAAAATATATTAACTAATAAGCACTAAGACAAAGGTTTTCTATCTAGAATTTATAAGAACTAAAAAAACATTAGGCCGGGGTTGGGGAGATGGCTCAGTAGGATAAGCACTTGACCGGCAAATGCCAGGATCTGAGCTCAATCCCCGGTTCCGCAAACAAACAAACAAACAAACAAGCAAAAAACCCCCAAAAACATTAGGCCTCAAAAATTTAAAGACTGAATCCAAAAATGGGCATCCTAGATGAATACAATCTTCTCAGAGGAAGAAATACAAGAAACAAATAAATAAATGAAAAAATGCTGAACCTCTCTATCCATTCATGAAATGCAAATTAAAACAACACTGAGATACCATCTCACCCCAGAAGCAATGGCTATCATAAAGAAATCAACCAACAACAAATGTTGGAGAGGCTGCGGGGAAAAAGGAACCCTTCTCCACTGCTAGTGGGAATGTAGACTGGTGTAACCTTTATGGAAATCAATGTGGAGACTCCTCAAAAAACTAGGACTGGAAATCCCATTCAATGCAGCTATCCCACTCCTGGGAATTTTCCCAAAATAACTGAAAATATCATATCATAATGATGTATATGAGCTCTTGTTTATAGCAGCACAATTTGTGGTACCCAAATCTTGGAAACAACCAAAATGCCTGTCACTTGATGAATGGATGATAAAGATGTGGTGTGTTTATACAATAGAGTATTACTCAGCTATAAAGAAAAATAAACTCAAAACTGTGATATATAAGTGGACAATACTTGAAGATATGCTCATAAGTGAAATGTATAAGTATCATATTGTCTCCTAGTATAAGAACTCAAAAGAAGAAATAAAAATTGAAAGGTATAACACAGTTAAATGGAAAGCGAGAACCTAAGGATTAAAGAATGAAGGGAGAGAAAGTAGAAAAGTTAGGAAATATGGCAAGGGCAAAACCATACATTTATATAAACAAGATGGTCAAAGCAATGGTCCTAATAATCTCCATCAGGTTTTTGAAAATAGCAGTTAATGGGCAGAATGCCCACCCTGACTAACTCTATATGCTGATATCTGAGAAATGAGCAACTGCATTGAGGATAGCAATGTGCAATACTAAAACCATGCTTGGAATACCCATTATTTGGGTCTTCTAAATGCACACTGCTTCTAATGTCATATTGATTATTGCTATAATCTCTTTAAAGTAAATATTTGTAAAAAAAGTGATAAAAGAAAACAAGAGACAAGAAAAAAAGGCATAGGACTGTACTGCTACAATATTGTATATGGTTTGATTTCTAAATTTGTGTGTAAAAATACGTAATTATTTTTTTTTGTTTTTTTCTACATTTTGTAGGGATATAAAGTTTAGAATATCTATGGTTGTTGGAAAATAGGAGTTCCATATTATGTTTAAGGTGTTTGATATACAGACAGATAGCAATGGTAAGCCCAACTGCCTCTGTTGCAGGGCAATTATATCATTAAGCTTCTCTTCTTGATGTTTAACAACTAAAATTTACAGACCAAAAATTAGAGAGAGGTGCTACAAGGATAGCAATATTTTTACCCTAATGCTTCGAGGTGAGTGAGGATTCAGGACATAATAGAACCTCAGCATAATAGAACCTCAGTTACATCCTGTAACTCAGTGGTGTCCCAAATTTTCTGATCAAGGAGTTTATGAGGCAACAGAAGAAAGTGATTGATGATGTAGAGTGTACCTAAGAGGAGTCACCTAGAGGGAAAAATTCTCTGAGGCTTTCACAGAGAGCAAAACAGTCAAGTAATGGCCGTGACTCATACAGATGGCTGACACGGACAAAAGACCACAAGGTGCTGTACATGGTTCCAGGGTAAATCCTGAGGGGACTTGACTGACCTTGTCAGATAGCAAAAGTTACATTTTGAGTTTTGTAGGTCTTGCTTTAACTTGGTCTTAACCATCCAACAGAAAATTGTAACCATGAGGCATAAAAGTAAAGCAATATTAATATGGTGAGCTGTAAATGGCTCATATCAACAACTTCAGACAATTGCCCATTGTGTTGATAACCCACCACTATGATGGACTATTGGGTTATATTGGGTTATTTTGCTGAATTCAAGTACCTACAGTCTTTGGTCTGGCATCAGGTATGATAAAGTCCTTTAAAGATTTCTCCAAATATATCTTCTCTAACAACAATTGAACACCCATCTCTGATAAAGCTAAACAAAAAAGGGGGATATAAATAAAGGACTATTTTTTTTCTGTGTGTGTGTGTGTGTGTGTGTGTGTGTGTGTGTGTGTGTCTGAAGATATATATGTGTATATACAGGATAGTTAGGATAGACACACAACTACTTTCTCTTAGTTCATTGAGAGCAAAGTTTTGTACTAATAATGTTTAGACAAGATATCACGTCTCCATATTTCCCTATGAATAACTACTAGGAAGACAACAATATACAATGTATTAATTATTTTAACTATCCTACTAACCTGTTTGGAAACTGGTTACTTTTTTTCTCATTAAAATGAAAAAAATAGATAATATAGCAACAATTGTTAATTAGCTATCCCTGTTTTGAAAATCTGTAACATATGTATTTTTGTATGTTACTCTGTTTGGGTCATTTCTTCTATTATTATTTTTGCTTCTGTTTTCACTCTTAAAATAAAATAAGGAAAAAAAAAAAACAGGCTCTGGAGATTTCTGCTGAAAAGAAGAATTGCATTGGTTGTGGTATCCCAGACTATGTCTATTACAGCTTGGAAGAAAGTTTGTCTGCACTTTGTTCATGTCCAGAGCCTTCGCCTGAGACTAAGGGCAGTGGGCTAATTAATCTTGCAGAGGAAACTTCAAGGCAATATAATGTTGAAGCCTTGACATGAATACTACTGGGGGCTTTTATCCAGATTTATGTTGAGGATCAAGAGCAAACAGCCTAGCAGAATGATTTAAAAACATTTTTAGTAAATTTGTAGACAGAAAAGAAGGTACAGAGGAGAAATTAGTCCCTGAAAAAACTAGCAAAAAACTCTCCAACTATTTCAGAAGATGACCACAGAAAAGATGGCCTAAGAACATCGTAAAAACCAGTAACATTCCCATCTTTATAGCCTCAGAGTAGCAAAGATGAAAGACTCCACTTTGAGGATAGAGCCCCAGAGCACCATGT